AACGGATATCCGAATAAATTCAGATCTGGATATCCAATAGATAAATGGATAAATGGATAATGGATAGGAACTCTACAATAAATTATTAAATTAATCAGATACTATGTTGCTTATTACGAAAAATTCCAAGTTCCGACTCGACACTTCCAAAAAGCCAGTAACAGCACTAACACTTGCCAAAGGGTTAACTGGGTCCTACTCACTTGCCAAAGAGCCAGTAAAGGCGAACCTACTTAGACACTCTTATCAAGCCAGCACGAAGCTGCTAATAGCGGACTAGACACCCTTATCAAGCCATATATCACTAATAGTCGACTAGACACTCTCTAGAAGCCATACAGACAAACATGTATCCCCGTAATAAGCCAAGGTTGCTCTTTTAAGGAAATTGCATACCAATTCCTCCTCCAGAATCAGTCGACCTTAATAAGCATCTTAAACTTGCTGTAGCAACCTTCCGTCCCGAAATGTTCACAAACATAATACTAACCTTCATTGCATATTTAATAGTACCGTAGTTACCTCAAATAAAGAAAGTTTTTTGAAAAAAATGGTTAAAGAAAAAATGTTTTTTGATTAACGTTAAAAAAATCGAAAACTAAAAATAATATTCATGTAAACAAGATCGAACGCGAATTCTATTTTAGGGGGTTGTCTAAAGCGGAGACAAATCATGTGACCACTAACCAATCAAATTATAGAATTTTGATGATCGCCGGCGAAGCAATACAAGAAAGAAAACCAAAAAACCTTAAAAATATAAAAGTTAAGCAAAAATGTCGGGATGGCAATTTTGCGTATATATAATATCTAAAACCTAACCTAACTCCAATCTAAGATGACCCTGACCCTAAAGTTAATTTAATAAATATTATATATATACAATTATATATATAATTATCTCCGCTTTAGACGTCCCTATTTTTAGGTATCGGTATGATCTAAGATGGGTTGATATAACCCATCTTAGGTATTTTTCTGAGCTTAAGTTTGGTCCGATTGGCCCGATGATCACAGGACCGCCAAATTTTTGCGCCATCATGCAAATTTTTACATGATAAAACACAATTAATAATCGTAAATCTTAAGTCAAAATTTATTAAACTAGTCAATATTTATGCCTTAAGTAGAGAACAAATTGTATATACTCCAAAAGTTTTATGTAATTTGAATAACTTTTTTATTAATTCACTTTCGCATTTATGGAAGATAAAGAATTTTTTATTTACCGGTAAATGGAAATGCGGAAGTGAATCAAATTACATGAAACTTTTAGAGTATATGTAATTTTTATTCCGAAACTTACTTAAGACATACTGTAAATAACGATAAGCTTGGTAAAACTTTAACTTATACTGTACGATTATCGACCAGAAAACTAATAACTTTTTTAGTTATCAAACTAATAAATTTATTTTATGCAGAAATGACCAATGACCCAAATGATAGGTCATTATTTGATGACCTTGAGTCATTTAAATTTTGATCAAATGACCAGGTCATTTACCATCCCTGTTCCGATCCAAATCTAATAGTATATACGTAACGTTTTTCAAATCTGATAACCTCATTCCTGATACGAAATTTGGGGTTTAACAGTATTTATTATTTATTACTATATATATATCAAAATGCTGAAAGTAGTCGTTAGTTAAAAATATAATTAAGATGAATTTTTAATCTTAAGAATAGCTTTATACTTATCACATTTTTACATTGTATATTATAGCAGACAGAATTAAGGTATAAAATACCACGTACCGTACAAGCGCGAAATAACGCGTTAATTAATTGATCTGCGCGTTATTTCGAGTACGCGCATGTGCATTATTTCAAAACAAGGTTGAATTCGCACCCTTAATTATATAAATAGTATCATTTAGAATAAGAATTAAAAAGTGCTTCGGAACTGGGTTTGGTATTAAGTAAAGGTATTTTTTGGGATTTTGGGTCAAAATCCCGAAAAACAGATTCCTGAAAGAACATAATATCGACTAAATCGGCCAGCATTATAGCTAATGCCAGTTAGCTTTATCGGTATTATGTTCTTTCGGGAATCTGTTTTCGGGATTTTGACCCAAATTCATTTTTTGGCATTAACAAAAGTTGTTCCTTAGACCTAACGGTAGTAAAATCATTAAACCGGTCTAGTAGTTCATCTATAAAGCTTTGTAAGATTTTGCAAAATTTTGAAGACAATTTTTACTACCATTAGAATCATCTCTACCTGAAAAGAACGTCAAAAAATAGGGTTACTTATACCAAACCCGGAACATTTTTTATTTATATGGATGCGCGTTAATTCGGGACGCCATGGGCGCGAATTTGAAGTTACTTATACTATTTTAGGAGTATCTAATTTTCAAATTAACGTCCCTGAGCGTTATTTCGCGCTTTTGCGGTACAAGATTGCTATGCGCAATTTGAATTTTATTTTCTCGCGAAACCTTGCACATACCATTAACATTTGAAAGTCCATAAAACTATTTGGAAGTCATATGTATAGCAGTTTTATATGTACAAGTCACTCTCTTTATAGTGAAGACTAATTAAAATTTCGATATAGTGAAGTTAGACTCAATGCCAGTCTATCTCGATATGAGTGCCGCCAAGCGAAAACCTGCAATTTCGATTTTTGCCGGTTCCGCTTTCTGATCCGATTCCCAATAAATTTAAATTAAGCACAACATATGAGTGCTGTCAATAAAAAACCTGTCATCGGACTTTCAATGTTCAGTTAGCTTTCTGTATGCCGTCTATAGATTGCCCATAGATAATATGCAGAAAGCCAACTGAACTTTTCTATTGACAGCACTCATATATTAAATCACATTTTTCGGGGTTTGATATGTAGGATTAATTTCGGAAAACTCACGTTTTCGCTTGGAGACACCCATATAGTGAATTTACTAATAAAATTCTCGATATAGTGAAAATTTAAAAAATTTTCATCAATGGAACCGATCGTTTCACTATAACAAGAGTATCTTGTATTTTTTTTTACTATTTTTGATTTTCCACAACGATCTGAATGATGAATAATTATTAGACCCGTGTATGAATCACAGGATCTCTATTAAATAAATGCAGATGTTTTTAAATGCAAAGTATGTATGTACTTTAGAGATTACCTTGCTATAATATAAATGCTCAGCTGTGTACTAGACCCGGGTCTACTATAGGTTTTAAAATCGGTGGAATGTAACAGACCCGGGTCTTGTATATGATCTTTTACAAAAAAAAATTTTTTTGATTATTTTAGTTATTTCATTGAGATTTTCGTAAAAAAAATCAAATCGTAACAATTAATTTTAAAAAAGCTCTATTTCACCTAACAGCTAAATCAGACATCATGCTTTCCCTCGTTATTCATCAACGGTAATAATTAAATGTAAAATTTCAATCTTTCATTCTTTGTCTCATATTTTCATTTAATTGTTTAACCCTTTTTTTTTAATGTTAGTTGCATTCACATATTTATTTAATTCTTTTAATTGAGTTACATCATTTATGAATTATTTATGAGTCTCAAATGCTTTTGATAATCTAATTTATGAAGTTTTCTTTACATTCTTTTTTTTTTTTTGTCAAATTTTATAGTTGCCTCAGCTGATATTATACAGTCCAAAGAGTACAAATTTTTTTTACGTTTCATGTATAGATATAGAAAGAATTTTTGTCAATTTGATAGTTAATTGGTTTTAAATTAATTTTAAGTCCACTTAAATAAAATTTGATAAACTAAGCTTGGAATTTTATTGCAATATAAGTACAAAAATTATATTTTCAAAAAAATATAAGGCTTAATTAATTAGTTCTCATAGCCCGGCCGAGTCAAATTTTGAAAAATTTTTATACTTATGTTTTAATTTATGTAAATTTTATAAAATTATATATTACCACAATTTTTTTCAATCGAATGATTATCTCGCGTACTCTCTTACGCAAGTCACAAGAAATCTGAAGTGTGATAGTTTCATCATGCGCGAGATAACCTCCATGCATAATGAACAAGAAAAAAAAAATTCACAAAGTGATAATTCACGGATATGAATATTAAAATGATATCAGAAAAAACAAGGCAAATATCGACCAAGGTTCAAAATTCACTCATACAATCAGATGATGACATATTTGGCATGCTAACGATATCTCAAAACGCAAATCACTTAAGTTAATCTCTCAATTTATTTAATAATAGTTAATAATTTACATCACTTATCATAATCTATTCGAAGAATAGTATATATGATTAAATGTGACTTAGCTCAACGGCAAAACTCACAGAGAGCTGTTAGTGCAAAAGGGAAAATGGGCATTGTTAACGTTGATGAATATTGGTTGTTTACTAAATCAGTAAAGATATATCGTTACCTTTGCAAATTCAAGCATATGGTCAAAGCTAAGATTATCCACGACATCGTTAGAAGTGTGGATGTATGGGTTAGAGTCATCAAATGCGCCTTCAATAGCAAAAGCGGAGGGGTAACCGGCCTTTAAATTGGCAAAATAAAAAATATCAAAAAAAAAGTAATAATATTTGTGAATGTTCAAATTTTACCATAAAAATAAATGAAATACGAACCTTTCTCCACGAAGCATGATCAGAACAAGCGTAGCTATAAATAGGAAATTCGCATTATTATTAATACTTATATTTCCAAAAAAAAAAAAACATGCATCCAATGCTCACCCGCATTTTGTATCTCTTGCAGGCAATTTCGCATATGATTTAATCAGTTTCTTGATGAACTCGGTCAAATCCGGATCAACGAAATCAACGACGATGCCAAATGTTTCGGGATATTTTTTACCCACGTAACCTGTCATATCATTCTAAATATTCATATATAATAAGATATATATATATATGAATTAGATTCATAATTATACAAAATGGATGATTCAAACATTATTTAATCACCTGCAACATAGCAATTACGTCTACTTCTAATTGTTCATAATGCGAAGCAATTGCTTGAGATCCTAGAAGACCACCTTCTTCAGCTGAATACCAATGGAATTCGACAGAACGTCTAGGCCTAAATTGCCCCTCAGCTAGCACACGAAATGCTTCCAAAATTGTAACAGTACCACTTCCATCATCATCAGCTTAAAAAAAAAAAAAAAAAAAAAAAATTTAAAATCTAACGTATTAGACGAACATTAATGTAATCAAGCGACAAAGTCTTGAAAATTCCTTGTAACATATTAAAAATTAATTATTGCGTAATTTATATACTGTAAATTAAAAATCAGGTGACCTAATATATTATTCGAGGCTTTTAATGAATCTCTAAATTAAGTAATTAAAGTTTCATGATAAAATGCAAATATATCGATATGAAATTTCCAAAACATTGTCGGCCAGAGATTTCAGGTAGAATTCCACATGAGCCGACTCATGATGTTAAAATGGGGCTAATGAGATTAAAATTACTATAAAATCGTCAAATTTTACGGACTTTTACAATTATATATACTTTAAATCTCAGTAGGACCATTTTTGAGGTTCATGGGCCGGCTGTGCGGAATCTTAATTTCAGGTATATATGAGTACCGCCAAGGGAAAACCTGTCATCGGGTTTTCAATTAAATTTTGTACCGGACATATTCCTTAAGAAATTAAATAGATTTTGTCCGGTACAAAATATAATTGAAAGCCCGATGACAGGTTTTCCCTTGGCGGCACTCATATGTTGTTACCTGGAATTGACTTGTTGCACAGTTGCACCTGACCGAAATTAAGTCATTATAATTCCAGTCAATTGCAACTTCAGTTTACTAAAGTGGCAACTTCGACATATATACGAATACAATTTTATGCAAATTTACCTCCAGGAGCTCGGCCAAAACTAGGCATCCACATATTAATCGAATCCTGATGCGCACCAACAATGACCACTTCATTTTCCTTGTCATCGTCGGAACCTTGAAATCTTGCAATGATCGATTTTTGATCCCATTTATGCGTAAATTGCTTAGCTGATAAAATTGGATCCGAATAATTCGCATTTTTAACAATGTTGACAACCTGGTCATATAACCATTGAGAGGATTCTGCTCCATATTTAGAGCGATAATATCGATTGCGGAATGAAGTAAATTTCTCAAGGTTTTTTCGCATGTACTTGGTGGAAAGATTATATATTAAAGGCACAACTTCATCTTCAAAGGCAGGATTAACGGGGAATGCTATATACAAAAAAAAATTTATTTAATAATGTTTAGTTCATTTTAGTTATATTTGTACAAAATGCCCCCCAGTGAATAACAGCGAAACCTGCCTCGTTTTTTATAAGCCTTATAATGTGTTCCCAAAGAACTGTAGTCTGTTATGTCCATGAATTTTATTTTGTTTCTAATTAAGCCCCAAACTTGTTCTTCTGTCATCCATTCTGACTTGAATGGACTTGTTTGAATCAATCTTTTCTCCTCATTTTGCAAGTTGGAAGGCTGGAACTCGGAATTATAGGTCAAGTCAATGGAATCTTGGATTTTGATTCGCAGACCAGCAACCAAAACCGTTAATATGGTGGCCAAAAGAATAACGAACGAAAATTTTATCATTTTTCTTAATTGAGAAAATTGTCCTTACTCTTCAGCCGAAGGCATTTTGAAAAAACATAATAAGCTTTAACTGTCGTGTAACCTCCAAAACTGGGACACAAGATAAACTTTATCGTTATCTTAACTTTTAGCCGAATATCGAGAAAAATTCGCGATTTTTTAGTTATCAATAATAATTAATAATAAGTGCGATAAATTTATCAATTGCGTATTTATCCGTTATTATATCTGTTATTATATTTTATTGTTCCTGTGATATGATCATGTAAAAATTTTTTGCCTCGATATTATTGTCATAAAATGACATCATCATTTAT